TGGGGTCTCAAGTCCTGCTTGAGATCTCCTGTTCCAGACCTGGGGCCTTCGAAGGTTCATGTATCCTCACGGTAGAAGGCTTTAGGTGGGAAGAGACTTGAGACCCTTCTAGCTCAATGGCCTGATTTTACAGATGAGGATTCTGGGGTCCAGAGAGGTGCTGTAATTCACCCAAGCTCACACAGCTACCAGTTAGCAGAATCAGAACTCAAACCCAGGGCTTTCAGGTCCCATTTAGTGATCTTTCTGCTTGCCACCTTCTGCCTTCCTGAGAACCCCTACAATTTCAGATTCCCCTGAATAGGAAAATAAACAAAAAAAATGGCAAAATTACATTAAAGGAAAAATTGTAAGGAAATGATTCTTCATGTAAGAACACTTTATTTTTCTAGTCCTTCTCCATAAGAATGTATGCACAGCTTTATTTTAACATAAGTATAATCAGAGTAAACATCTGATTCTGATTCTACTTACCAATTTTTTTCCAAGTTACTCTTAGTCTTTTTATTTATGATTTTAATGGCTGCCATATATTGCATCAAATTGGTCTTTATGTAAGTTACTTTGTTTCTTCTTTTGTATTATGTTCTTGGGCTGGGTTTCCAGCAGTAGGATTACAAGGTGAGAGAACAGAAAGATGTTCTCAAGACCTAGTCTTTGCACCAGCTCTTGTATTTGGCCCATGGTCAAGGCCTGGACAGCCGTACCTCCCTTGTAACCCACATTGCCTCTTCCCTCCTTAGGCTGCCAACAACCTCATTGTCCTAGGCCGTGAGGAATCAGGGGCTGAGAAGATCTTCCAGGGCAATGGAGTGGCCCTGCTGCTGCAGCTTCTGGACACCAAGAGGCTTGAGCTGATGCTGGCTGCAGTGCGGACCCTGTCGGGCATGTGCAGCGGCCACCGAGCCAGGGTAAGAGCCTGGCTGTGGGGCAGGTGCAGCCAATGGCTGCTGGTCTAAGGATCAGGAGGGTGCCATGCATGGTCAGGGCTGTGGCTGGCATCAACAGAACCTGATACAAAGTCTAAAGAGTGCTCCAGTGCTTTTTTCCTTTGAGCTGGAAACGGGTTTGACTAAACAAAGATAAATTTATTGAACGTGGTTTGTGGGGAAGAGCTAAATGCAAAGCTATGACAGTTCACATTTTTTCATGCTAAGTCTTTGAAACCCAGTGTGTATTTTATACTTACAGCACATCCCAATGTGGTCTTGCCACATTGCAAGCGCCCAACAGTCCCATGTGGCAAGTGGCCACCATATTGGATGGCACAGCCCTGACCTCTGGAAGGGACATGGCTGTGTCAAGAGCTTTCCAGGACCGGGGGGCGGGGGGCCCATGAGGCATCAACTGCCTGGGCTCATTTCCCTACTGCATGGAGTGGGGTGGGGACAGTTATCATGCACCCCCTAACCTGCATGGCAGCTGGAAGGGAGGGGCCGGGCAGCTGACCGCGATTCTCTGTGGGCGTCCAGGCCACAGCGATTCTGCACGCGGTGCGGATAGACCGAATCTGCAGCCTCATGTCCGGGGAGAATGAGGAGATGTCTCTGGCCGTCTGCAACTTGCTCCAAGCCGTCATTGACTCCCTGTCTGGGGAGGATAAGCAGGAGCATCGAGGAAAGGAGGAAGCCCTGGTTCTAGGTAGGAGACGACCTTCAGTTTTAGTTCAAGGGGAAGGGGATAGGGGAAGGAGAGAGTCAGTCACCAGCTCAGACTGGGCGTTCCCTGTGTGTGGCAGTGACTTGATTTTGTTATCTGTATTTTCTGGTTATAAAAGTAACAGGCAGAGCAGCAGTAGTCAGAATAGCCCAAAGAGGGAAACAAGCCAAGTGTCCATCGGCAGGTAACTGCACAAGCCAAATGTGGTGCATACATACGATGGGACATCATTCAGTCTTAAAAAAGAAGGGACTTCTGACACATGCTACGACATGGATGAACATTGAGGACATTGTGTGAGTAAAATAAGGCAGTCACAAAAGGATAAATACGGTATGAGTCCACTCATAAGAGGTACTTAGAGTAGTCAAACGCATGGAGGCAGAAAGTAGAAGGTGTTTGTCAGGAGCTGGAGGAGGAGGAATGGGAAATTATTGCTTAATGGGGATGGAGTCTCAGTTTTGCAAGATCAGAAAATGTGGTTGCATTGTCGTGATGGTTGCACAGCAACGTGAGTATAGTTAATGCCACTGAAAATGATTAAAGTGGTAAATTTTATGTTATGTACATTTTACTACAATTTTAAAAAGGTAACAGAGGCTTACTGGAGAAATGTAGAAAAATATAGAACTATGTAAAGATGAAAAAAATACCTATAATCACCCATTCAGATAACCACTATTATCACTACTGTGTATGTCCTTCCTTTTTTCTGTCTATCCATGTAAATATCTATTTAACAAAACTAGAATTCTGCTATGGATGGTTTTATGTTTTTTTCTTCACTCAGCATTATTTTAGTATTGCATACCATTGAATATTCTTTAAAAATTTCTTTGGTTTTAAGAGTTATGAATTTTATATTTGTTTCTTACTGTATAAACTCATGCTTCTTCCTGCACATCAAGGTCTTAGGCATCAGTCTGGAAGTTTCTGCTCTGGCTGGCAGGTTCACAGAGGCAGGTTTATGCAGAAAACTTTGTTTTAAATAATTTCATAATACTTCCTTGTGTGGATACATTATAATTCATCAACCAGCTCTTTATTATTGGAGATTTAGATTGGTTCCAATTTGCATGCTTATGCAAAACACTTCAGTAGCCATTCTTTACATAAATTCATGTTTACATTCGTAATTATTTCCTTGGGACAAATTCCAAGAAATGGGAGTACTAGGTCTAAAGTCATGAACATAACTAAAGTTCTTTCTTCATCTTGCCATCCAATTCCTTTCTGAGAGGGTGCATCAGTTTGCACGCTCACCAAGTGAGGCTGAGAGTTCCCATATCAACACATTCTCAGATTTGAATACTATTAATATCATTGTTAAAGATATTTTTGGCCAGGCG